CTCGGCATCGACCAGATTTCGCCGCTGGGCTTCGAGCGGCTGCCAGACTTCGTTCTGGTTGAGTTCTACGATTTGTATCGTCTGGTCGACGGGGGGGTGTCGCGGCTTGGGCAGGTAGTCGCTGTGGTGGACAGGTTGCTTGGGGAAGAGTCAGGGGGCGATCGCGTGATCGGCTTGATCGCCGTGTTTAGTCGGTTGTGGAGCATGGCGCGCGTGTCTCAGATGGCAGTGGGCGCTTGGCGAGGGGCCGGCGCGTGATGCGGCGGCGGCCGACAACGGTGCACTTCGCGTGGTGTGCGCTCGAGCATTGGAGGAGTAGCTCCGCGTCTGGCTCAGCATGCCTCATGGCCATTCCGCGGTCGATGTCGACGCTTCCTGTGATGGTAGTGGGTGGCCCCACCGTGCTCGTGGGGCGCCGGGGCTGCGATTTCTACCGACCGCGTTGATATTGAAACTTCACCTGCGTCCGCGTCCAAGGATGGTCGCGCAGATCGCTGCGTATGCCGCGCCCTTTCAGCCGACCAGGTCGGCGGTCCAACGGTTGCGGGGCCGCGCTTGTTTCGTGTCGCGCGAGTAATTCGATCGCCCAGCAGTCGCGCGTGGCGCGTCCAAATCTTCCTGAGGGTCCGTGGATTGATGATCGATACAAGCGGGTGGCTGGTTCGAGAAGGGTTATGAGGGCGATGTTGTTGGAGGGGTTTGTCAGCGCGGCCGAGTTGCAGCAGTGCTTGTCCGCCTCGCCTATGCATGTTGTCGCGTGTTCGCGTCGCGCCGCCGCGCGGTTCGGCGGCTGGGGCGGAAGGGCGTCGTCGTCGTCGGCGGGCGCTTGCATGCCGCGCGCCCTGGGGCCGGCGCGGTTAGCGGCCAGCGGCGGGCGGGGGGGGCGCCGAGGAAGAGTGTTCAAGTCGGGGGCGCTTGTGCCGAGCTGCGCGAGTTTGCGACGGCGCCCTCGCGATGCGACGCCGCCGTGGAGATCCTGGGGGCCGGGCCGCTTGCTGCCGCCGCGCGCGGCTGCGTAGTCCAGGTCTGCTCTGGGCCCATCGCGGTGGCGCAAGGGAGGGCGTTGGCAGCGGCGGCAAGCTCGGCGCGGCGGGGCAGGTGCGCCGCTACCCTGCTCGCGCTGGGGCTGCCAGGGCCAGGCCCTCGCCGGGCGCTGCTGCGTCGGAGTGCGTCGCGGCGGCTGTGGGCGCGGTGGGCGGGGCCGCGCTTGAGATCAGGCGTGCGGCGTTTGTGGGGGGCGATGTTGTGCGTCAGTTGTCGCGCGTGGTGGAGTTTCAGAGGCCCAGGCGTTTTCGGGGCCACGCTTCCACTGCAGTCGCGCGTCTGTTGCGTGCGTGTTGGCTCCCGACCTTAGCGGCAGAAGGAGCGCCGCGAATGGTGGTTCCCGAGGTCGTCGTGCTTGGGTGCGTTCTTCAGGCGAGATCGTTGGGCATGTTTAGATCGCCCCGCTTGCGGAAGGATTTGGGGGGGGGGGGTCATTTGCGGCGCGACTCTGGCGCGAGGCAGCGGGGATGTATTGTGGGGCAGGCGTGGGGGATGGAACTGGTAGGCTGAATTGTCGCCGTTCGTTGGCTTATCTTACGCGTGCGTGCAAACGTCGCCAGTTTTCGGTTTCGTGGCGTCGATGGCAGATGGTGGCTCGCGGCCCAAATCTCGCAAGCATCGGGCGGGGCTGCGCGGCGACGGTGCGCGCGGGCCGTGGGGGGTTTCTACTGGGGCGCCAGTCCGTCGCGTTAGCTGCGTTTTTTGTAGCGACGATAGTAAGGCCTGCGAGGTTTCGGAAGCGCCCTGGAGTGCCAGCCTGGGGCGCAGGCGCATTGGGGTCTCCCTTTTCTCGCGGCTGCCCGGGCGCAGGCACTCGCGATGCCTTCCTGATTGTCTTCGGCGGCGCGTGAGGGGCTGCCGGCGCGCAGGGCGCGAGGCTTCGCGGAGTCGGGGTGGGCTTGGGGGCGACGGGCAGTTCCCCCGCCAGTAGTGGGCGTTTTCGCGTGAGGGTCACCCTGGGGCGCGCGGGTTCGGCAGGCGGCGCCGAGGGGCGAGCGTCAGTGTTTGTCGACTTCGGTCGAGTATTCATATGGTGTTTTGGAACGCGTGGCGGATGCTGGCGAGGTGCGCAGAGGTTAGTGACAGGCTTTGCATGGGGGACTTTTGTGCCAGAGAGCGGACCTGCGGACGTCCGTCGGCGGCGCGCTCGAAAGTCAGTCGCGTTCGCCGGCCGACGTCGTGGTGCTGCGAGTGTCGTCGCACTTGGCCCCTCAAGAGATTCTTGCGCGGGGTGTCTCGAGTTGGCTTGTGCAGGGCAATGAGGTGGTCGACGGTTTGGCAAACTCGGTCGCCAAGACATGGGGGTATCGGAGGTGGACAGGGCGCGTGTGTTAATGGTAGAGAGGTCGCTGTGCTGGCCAGGCGTTGTTTGTTGAGAGCGGCTTTGCTTCTCGTGCTATCTGAGACGGTGTTGAAGCGCGAGGCGGGACTTGCCGCGGGCCGATGCTGCCGATGACTCCCGACCTCCCCCCCTCGGCGCACGCCCCTGCGCCTGGTGCCATAGCGGGCTTCGCGACGTCTCGTGCCATTGTTGATGAAAGGCGTTCGTGTTATGTGTGCAGATTTGTTTCGTCCACGGCTGCTGTGAGCCTCTGGCTGAAAAGCGGTTGTTATAATGTCGAGCGCGTTGACGGTAGGTTGTGAAGGCTCCCCCGAAGCCGACGTATACATTGTCGCTGGTGGTTGTGTCCACACACTTCGCATGCAATGTTCTATCACGTGACTCTTGGATTGTGGTATTGTGCCACATGCGTTTTTTTGGCCACTCCCAAATTCGGGGCATGGCGAAAGGCAACACAATTTTTTCACCAGGAACCGTCGGGAGCATCTCGGCAGGATCTGGCGTGATATGTTCTCCAAGGTTTAAGCTTTGGGCACTCGTTATTATTCACCTTGGTGCAGGCTGTAATCCTGCTTAGCTTTCTCCGTCTCTCTCTCTCCTTTCCTCTTTCCTCCCACCACCCTCTCTCCTCCCTCCTCCCTCCTCCCTCTTCTCTTCCCGTTTCTCCCTCCGCCTTCTTCCCTTGCCCCTTCTTCCTTCTTCCTCCTCCATCCTCTTCTTCCTCTTCCTCCTCCTTCCTCCTCTTCCTCCTCCTCCTCCTCCTCCTCCTCCCTAGCTTCTTGATTCCAGTCGGAGTCAGGACCGGACTTTCTGTCGATATTAACCATACCGCCTTTCGGTCGATCGAACCTCCTCCTGCTCCTTTTCCTCCTCCTGCTCCGCCTCCCCCTCCTCTTCCGCCTCCTCCTCTTCCTCGTCCTCCTCCGTTTCCTCCTCCTCCTCCTCCTCCTCTTCCTCCTCCTCCTCCTCCTCCTCCTCCTCCTCGTCCTCCCTCTCACTCTTTATATGGGGGGGCCATGGGGTGCCTCGGACGCGGCCCTCCTCCGCTTCCTCCATCTCAACAGCCTCCTTTTCCTGCTGCTGCTGATCCTCCTCCTCGTTCTCGTCCTCCTCCTCGTCCTCCTCCTCCTCCTCCTCCTCCTTCTCTTCCTTCTCCTTATCCTCTTATCCCCTCCTCCTCCTCCTCCTCCTCCTCGTCCTCCTTCGCCTCCTCCTCTTCCTTCTCCTCCTCCTCCTCCTCCTCCTCCTCCTCCTCCTCTTGGCCTTTTGTGGAACTTTGGAGGCCCCCTTCGGCCTGGCGGCGGCCGCGGGCCCCCCTCTTCGGGGACCTCGTGGCGCCCAGATGGAGGACCGAGGTCGGCTATACGAAAGAGGTGGCCTTTTTCCAGAGTGACCGATTGGTGCGGGCGCGCCCAGGGCGGGTGGTAATGGGGGGTGGCCCACATGGGGGTGAAGAAAAGGACCCTAAAGGGGCCCTTTCGGCCCCTTTTGGACATAGCAGGGGCCCACAAGGGGCCCGGAAGTGCCCCTTTCGAGTTCTTCTCTTCACCGCCACCTTGGGTCACCCCCCATCAGCACCCGTCCGAGCACCGCGGCTCCGAGATGGCTGAATGCAATGCGACAGCAGCGGCTTGCGCGTTCCGATTTGATCCCCCCCGCGGCCCCCGAAAGTTGCGCACCAGAGGTCACTCTTGCCCCAAGTCGCTCATACGTGTAGCCGACGAGGCTCAAGGTTTCTGGGCTTGCGCGTTCTGGGGCTCCCAAGGCCTCCGCTCGGGGACCCCCTAAACAGTCATGTTTTTGGGAGGATTCTTCCGAAAACCTTAACCAAAACCCTTCCTGAGGGAGGTTTTCAGGAGGTTTTTAGGAGGAGTCTTCAAACAACCTTTTAAACACCTTCCTGAGAATTACCTGGGTTCTACGTTTTCGGACGTTTCCGTCGGTCCTGCGCGGTTTTTCAGCTTCGGGGTTCTTCTGGGGGTGCCCAGATCGTCTCGAACATCCGCCGAGAGCCCTAGTTCTGACCCGGAAACAGGAGAGGTCCCAAACGGCGCGGTGACCACACCGTGTGGTGAGTCAGTAGGCATTCGGCGTCACCTCGCGGTCTTGCGCCTCGGGTCGTTCTCCGAGGATGCGCTCCAGGCAGCTGGGGCCTGCAGGGTCACAAGACCGTGCGGTGACGGACGGTGCGGTGCCGTCTCTGCGGATTTCGAGGTCGCCGCGCGGGCCGTCACCACACTGTTTGGGGACCCCCGATCCACTCGGCCTCGGGGGTGGGGCTTCTGGGTGGCCCCGCCGGCCCCCCTGGGGGCCCCCAGGGACCTCCCCGTCGGAGGATGGGCCATGCTGCCCAAATGGGGCCAGAGCAGGTGGGATCGGAAGATCACGCCGCGTCGCCGATGCTTCGGAGATGCGGCGCGGGGCGTCCGGTGATGGAGCCGAGGGCGGTCGTCGTCGTAGCCGCAGTCGTCTCTGCCGTCGTGGTGTAGCCACCGCCGCTGTCGTCTTCGTCGTCGTCGTCGTCGTCGCCGTCGCCGCCGCCGCCGTCGTTGTGTCGCCGCCGTCGTTGTGTCGCCGCCTCTGCTGCCATCTTTTTCCGTCGTCGCCAGCCGAGGACCTGAACGACCGGCACGAGCTGTCCGCGGCGCGGGACGAGAGGGTGCGCGGGGGCGCCGGCGGCGGGAGGGGCGGGCTCCGGGGGGGACCTTATATCTCGACCCCCAGCCAGCCACTCGTCGCCGAGAGTTGGAGGAAGCGCAGGTGTGGACCGCACGCTGGTCGTGGGAAGTGGGTACTGTTCAGGAGGGAAACAACACAGACACAATTAATCTTCGATTCCCCAGAAAACATGGGAAAATATGGGAAGTGGGGGGGAAGACAAAAACCCAGAAAATATGGGAACATATTGAGAAAATGTTTATTTGTGTGTGTTTATTTGTGTGTCCCAGGGCCCCTTCACAGGTCCCAGTCTGCTTTCGGCGCCTTCCTACATCGAGGATCGACGGGTTTCTTCCCTCCTCCTCGGGGAGCGGGCGGGAGCCCAACAATCTTCAGGAGGGAAAAAAACATACAGACACAATTAATCGTCCCCTCCCAGGAGAATATCTGAAAAGATGGGAAGTGGGGAGGAAGGCAAAACCTTGGAAAATATGGGAAAATATGGGGAATCCTGTTATTTGTGTGTATTTATTTGTTTGTCCCAGGGCTCCTTCACAGGTCCCAGTGCTTTCGGCGCCTTCCTACATCGAGGATCGACGGGTTTCCTTCTTCCCTCCTCCTCGGGGGGCGGGCGGGAGCCCAATCTGCTTCCAACGCCTTCCTACAGTCAAAAACCCTAATAAGGACGCGCGACTTTGCTCAGGGTACCCTTGCGTCCTTGCTCTTCCTTGCTCTTGCGTCCTTAGGGTTTTCGTCGTCCGCCGCCCCAAGAACCCCAACTTCGGCTTCCAAGGGTCTTGCGTCCTTACCGCGCGTCCTTATTAGGGTTTTTGACTGTGCTTCATGCTTCTACCCACTTCTGGTCGGCGTGCAAGGCGAGGGGATCAGCGACAGGCTCCGCTTTCGCCTCCTGTTTCGGGGTGCTTTTGCCGACCCATGGATTCGGCGCCAGCGCTCCAGCGCCACGAATGCCTGTTCCGCGGGAGCGTGTGCCCGAGATAGGGGTTTCTGGGCCCAAATAGGGGACCCCCTCTTCTGGCGTCGTCGAAGCAGAAGAGGGAGGAGCAGGAGGAGGAGCAGGAGGAGGAGGAGGAGGAGGAGGAGGAGGAGGAGGAGGAGGAGGAGGCGGAGGAGGAGGAGGGGGAGGAGGAGGAGGGGAGGAGACGAGGAGGAGGAGGAGGAGGAGGAGGAGGAGGAGGAGGAGGAGGAGGAGGAGGAGGAGGAGGAGGAGGAGGGAGGAGGAGGAGGAGGCTGGAGGAGACTGGAGGAGGAGGAGGCTGGAGGAGACTGGAGGAGGAGGAGGAGGAGGAGGAGGAGGAGGAGGAGGAAGAGGCGCGCTGCGCAGGAATCTGCGGCCTCGCAGGCGAAGGGGCCCATCGCCGATCCATCGGCGGTGGAGCGCCGAGCCCAGCTCGGTGTTTCCCCCCCCTTGGAGCGGGCCCCGCCCTGCCGCTCTTGCCCGCAGGTGTGCGGCCACGTGGAGGACGACGGGACGTGGCTGCGGGTCCACAGAGCCGGCAAGGCGCCCGCGGGTCCATGGGCCCACCCCGCGCGAGCCCCCGCGGGCTCGGCGGCTCTCCTCCAGTCGGCCCGCGGGGATCGGGCCAGACCAGTCGAGGCAGATTTGCGCACTCGCGCGTGTCGACGTGAACCTATCTCCCCGAGGCGGGCATTTCTACAGGACCACCGCCTGGAGGGTCAGTTTTCGGAGCCTCGGCAGGCGGTGGATGTGGACATATTCCGGCCCCCGGGGGCCGAAATATGTCCATACCCACCGCCCGCTGGGACGCCAGGGCGTCGGTTCCCAGGCGGCGGATAATGGATAAGTCCCCGTCTCGCACTATATCGATCGAGTTGGGTCCAGAGATGCCCACATGAGCCTGCGGAAGATACTGGGCGCTCCAGCGCAATCCGAGGGACAGCAGAAGTGGTCAAGCCCTTGACGAGTGAGGGCCAGAGGGGCGGCCCGGGAGCGGCCTGGAGGTCCTCGGTCCTCGCCTCCCTTGTCGGGCATGTCCTTCTACATGGGGAGTGTGCAAGAATACTAGTCAGGGGCATTTTTTTGTGTTATTTCGACTGTTTTTGAGTACTGTTTGACCTTCTTGTTTTTTGTTATTTGTTTGTTATTTGTTTGTTTTTTGTTTTGTATATATGTATGTGTATATATATATATATATATATATATATATATATCTCTCTCTCTCTCTTCCAATCTCCGCCTGTAGGAGGACATGCCCGACCTGCGGATACTGGACAAGTGCAACGTCGGAGGAGATGTCCCAAGGACATTGTTTTGTTGGTTCTCGGTATTTTTAAGCCTACGAAGGCCTCTGGAGGTCTTAATGTGACCTCCAGAGGCCTCTGGAGTGACCTCTAGAGACATCTCATGTGGGCGACCGTCCTCCTCATTCTTCCTGCTCCCCCTCCTCTCTCCTCCTCCTTCTCCTTCTCCTCCCCCTTCTCCTCCTCATCCTCCTCCTCATGTTCTTCCTCTTCCTTCCTCCTCCTTCTCCTTTTCCTCCCTCCTCGTCCACCTCCTCTCCTCCATCTCTGCCTCTACTCTGTTCTTGGTAAACAATTTCTCCGTCTCGCACCCCGAGGCGCGTCGGTATTTTCGGGCCGGGCGTTTTGCCTGAGATTTCTCACCATGTATGATCCACAAGCTTGGAATGTGCATTATTTACGGATGGAGGGCGGGCCGTTTACAAAATGTGGCTCTCGCCTTAGCGCACATTCGTTTTAAAAGCTTGCAAAGGCGTCACGGATGGAGGGGGGCCGTTTTCACAATGTGGCCTTCGCTTGGCCGCGCACATTCGCTTCAAAAGTTTGCAAAGGATTCGCGGATGGAGGGCGGGCCGTTTTGAACATGTGGCTCTCGCAAGTCGCCGCGCACATTCGCTTTAAACGTTTGCAAGAGTTTCGCGGATGGGGGGCGGTTGCCTTTCAAAATGCGGCTCTCGCATTCGTTGTGTGCAGCATGTTCCTCAATATTCGTAGGGTCGACGTTCCAGAAATGATTTTTTGGCACGATGTAGGATTGTCAGGGCGCAACAGTCACGTTGATTCGCGGAGTTGACGTCCCAGGACTTGTGCTTCGGCACGATTGATGGTCGTCAGGACGCAACAGTAATGTTGATTGCAACATTGAAGTCCCGGGAATGGTGCTTTGGCACGTCTCAGGATTTCAGACGGCTGTTTTCCAACGTGGCGCTTCCCTCAATGAGCATTAATTGTTGTACGGGCTTATCAAGAGGAAACTGAATGGATGGTTCATTGCAACATTATGGGTGGGTCTTGGGTTTGCACTGGTCTCCTCCTCCTTCTCCTCCTCCTCCTCCTCCTGAGGGCCTGACATGGTGCGCATTTCGCGCGTCGGCGGTGGCGAGCCGGACGTGCTGAGCGCGGCGCGCATTTGGCGCGTCGTGGAGGACGGGCTTGTCCAGCCCCTGCGTGCCCTTGACCCTTCGGGGTGGGCCGGCGTGAGGGATCCGACGAACTCGCCCCCCTTTCCCATCCTCCCCTTGGGCTGTCGCCGTCCGCTCTCTGGTCTGTGCTCGGAGGCCTGGAGGTTGACACCAACACCAATAGCGGTGGAGTGCCTCCTGCCGAGGGAAGATGATCCCGATCTCGGTGGTGGTGGTGGCAATAGTCGGGCTTTCCAGGTGGCCGAAAGATTACCACCAGCGCCGCCATCCACCTTCCCACCGTGGAGGCAGCCCCGAGTGTTGGTGTTGGTGCTCGTCTCCAGGCCTCTCATGTTCTTCTCCGCTCGGCGCTGCTCGTTCCCCCCGTGCCTCTCGGTCCTCTCCTGCCTGCTCCTCGTGCCTGCGTGGGCAGCAGATCCCGCCTTCCGACAAAAAAGCGCGTTGTGATGTCTCAGGCAGCCTTCCTCCTCGCAGGTGGGAGGGCTCCTCCTCCTCCTGGGCCGCCGTTCGGACTCGCCCCCGACGCGCTTAACCTTGATTTTCTCCTCTTCCTTCCCTTGCCCCCATAATTTGCTTTGTGTTTGTTTCACCCCCGTTCCGCAGCCACAGGCTCAAGCCGTCTCCCAGGGGTGTTCCTCCTCTCAGGAGGCCTGGCCAGCGAGGCCCGGACGGCGCGGCCGAGCCGCGCTGCCGCCGGGCTGGCCCAGTCCATCAGTTGCTACCACACTTGGCGCCTCTCTCTCCATCCTGACCAGGGCGGCCGAGCAGCGATCGAGCACTGTGCCGCCAGGCGCGGATGGGCCACGCTGGACCGATGCCCCGGGACACGGGGTCGCCCTGCCCCGCGAGGGGTCGGAGGCCCGCTGCGCTCCCTTGGCACCCGAGGCCGCGTGGCAGGCAGTCGCGCCCGCGCCGCCTCCGCCTCGCCCCGCTGCGGCCTCTACCCGGGATGGCCCGCAGTGCGGAGGGCCAGGCCCGAGACCGGAGCCTCGGACCCCGTCTCCATGTAGCCTCTCTCGAGCCGGATCGATCTGCGACGGTCCCCGGGGCAGCTTGGATCTGCCCGCGGAGCCCCCGGGCAGATTTCTGAGCGGGACCGCTGCAGCTCGTCCTGCGGGCCCCTCCGGCCACCTGGGCCCTCGGATCCGCGGCCCCTGCGAGAGGTCGGGCGCGCCTGGGAGGCGGAGGAGGCTCGACCGTGCCCACCCTGGCCCCGGGGCCCAGGCTTGGAGGGCCACGTCTGCCTGTTTCTGGAAGGGCCACGGACTGGGGCCGATGCCAGGTACGAATCCCGCGTGCCAGCCGAAGCGTCCATGGACACACTGGGTGCCGTGGCGTCTACAGACGCACTCGGTGGGCACGCCCATGGGCAACGTGGCCGTTGCGTTCCGCGCAGGGCAAGGTCGGAGAAAGAACAGATCCGTCCACGGTGCGTTCCTGTTCGAGAGCGGGTCCCACACATGGTACTCCCAGCCCAGACCCTGCCCCGAGCAGCGGTCCTGGGCCCTGTGGCGTCCCTGGGAAGCCTGCCGTGGCCCGTGGCAGCCCGCGTCTCCGTGCCGCTGGGGCCGGCGCCCCGCCCCTGTTTTGACCCGGAGCAAACGTCAGCCTTGCGCAGAGGGGGGTGGGGGGAGAGGGGAGGGCTTCTTAGAAGCACCCCCTTAGTCCTGCTGGATGTCCTCCTCGACGTGTACGTGGTGTCGGTCAACTCGAATTCCGCCATGTTGGTGTTGCATTTCGCCTGGGAAATCTTCCTGGTGTGTGCCCTCCTTGAAGCGGCAGCGAGGCTCGCCTCCTGTTTGTTCCTCTCCCCGCTTTTTCTTCTCTCTTTTCGCTCCTCCTTCTCCCTGCGCGCGTCATACAGGCCGTTGCCCGTGTGCTACGCTCCTGGACGCCGCCCGACTTCTTTCGACGCGATCAAAAAAAAGTATCCCCGCCAGCCCATCCAGAAACCATATGCCCAGAGGGGTTTGGGGTGATTAGGGAATTAGGGGAGCGTGGAGAAGAACAAAGGCGGGGGAAACCGTCCGATACCCCACGAGGGGGGGGGGATAGTGGATGAGAAGAAGGAGGAGGAGGAGAAGGTGGAGGAGAGGGAGGAGGATAGCGAAGAGAAAGAAGGAGGAAAAGACCGTGGACGAGGAGGAGGATGAGGAGGGGAGGAGGAGGAGGAGGAGGAGGAGGAGGAGGAGGAGGAGGAGGAGGAGGAGGAGGAGGAGGAGGAGGAGGAAGAGAGGAGAAGGAGGAGGAGGGGGAGCAGGAGGAGGAGGAGGAGGAGGAGGAGGAGGAGGAAGAGGAGGAGGAGGAGGAGGAGGAGGAGGAGGAGGAAAAGGGGCATTTTGGTGAACCCAGAGCCGTCTTTGAACTTCTAGGGTGCCTCGGAGATTCTTTTGCAGCCTCTCCGGGGGTCACTTGGGGGCCTCTTGGAGGCATCTTGGGCGCCTCTTGGGGCCGTCTGGGCGCCTCTCGGGGCCCTCTTGCGGCGTTCTTGGGAGCTTCAGGGGCGCTGTTGGGGTCATCTTGGAGGACGTCGATGAAAAAAGAGGGGAGCTTCAATTAGCGCCCCCTCCCCCCCCCCCCCCCTTGGGAACCCCAGAAGTCGTCTCTTGGGGCGTTTTGTGCGCTCTTGGAGCGCTCTTGGGCGCTCTTGGGGCCGTCTTGAGGCTCTCTTGGGTCTCTCCTGTTTTTTTTTTGGACGCTCCAACCCCTCGGGGGATCCAGGTCCAGGGGAGGGGGTCGGGCAAGCGAGGTGCGCTCGCGTCACATTTCGCGTCACATCTGTCACCATGGCGTAGATCTCCTCTCTATTCGCACAGTCGGATGTCGAGCAGGGCAATGATCCCGAGAAGGTGCGCGACGCATCGTACATCACGGTATAGGAAGGCATAGGCGGGCGCGGCAGAGCGTATTATGTCATAGCATGGCGTGGCGTGGCGTAGTGAAGAACCACATCGCAAAGCGTTGCAACGCAAATGATACCATCGCACACCAGCGCGGAACATAACATGGCACAGCATGGCCTTGAAGATCAAAGCGTAGCATGGCATAGCATTGCGTGGCACTGCGTAGTCAAACACCGCATATCCTAGCATTGCAG